TCCTTCCTTCCTTCCTGGAATCCTTCCTGGAATCCTTCCTTCCTGGAATCCTTCCTTCCTGGAATCCTTCCTTCCTGGAATCCATCCTTCCTGGAATCCTTCCTTCCTTCCTTCCTGGAATCCTTCCTTCCTGGAATCCATCCTTCCTGGAATCCATCCTTCCTGGAATCCTTCCTGGAATCCATCCTTCCTTCTCCCACCAACACAGCAGAGGAGAAAGGAAAAGAGGGGAGAAAATTTAACACAGAGTAGAGTATTGATGAGCCCACCCAGGCAGTTACTGAGGTGGGAACTTTGTGGCAAGAAGAGCACATTATTTCGCAGCTGCAGGTGGTGTGCTCGATAAGGGCTGGTGGCCTCTGCCTTCACACCAGCACTGCCACAGAAAGTGCCATTTGCACTTTCCACATTTGTGGGAGATCTCTGCTGGGCTGGAAGTTGAAGGAAGTACGAGTCTATCATCAGGCAAATTAGAAATTGGCTCAGAACCCCAGGAGCTGGAGGAGGTGTGATTAATTCAGTACCTAACAGGGCAGAGCAGTGTAAAAGGAGCCCCTGAAAGTAACTCCAGGCTTTAAGGACCCAGCTTTTTACCTCCCTTCATCTGCCCCTGCTTTCCATACAGGCTCTTAGGAGACAGAAAATATCCACTGCAAGGATATCTTTCCATGAAGGGGAGAGGACTGGGCTATGAAAATACCTAAGATACCTGTGCTCCTTTCTACTAACAGTTTTCTCAAAGTGTGACCCTGAGCAGGGGCAGGCAGGTTGCATTTCTTAATGAGGTCAAAGTGCTGTTTAATTGGTGTGTGTTGTTTGAAGTGTGGTGCTCTGGTGGTCCCGGTGTCAAACATCAGTGCCAGATCAGCTCTGTCCTCAGCTGGATATACTCAGAAGAAGCTGGGCAGGTGGAGTTTATTGTCACAAGACAGTGGGGTTCTCGTGATAAATATCAGGAACTTGAGTGAAAAAATAGGGAGAATGTTCTAAGCGAGCTCTGATGTGGCTGCCCTTGTTTCCCCCAGGAACTATGGTGGGGTGTACGTGGGGCTGCCGTCGGACGCGGCTGCCATGGCTCCCAGCCAGACCAGAGCTGCACCCAAAGGTACCGGCAGCTTGTGCGTTCTCCTGCTTTCCGGGGATCATTGTGTCTAGCAGGATGCAGGTCCTTTCAAAATCAATTATTGCTTCAGACAGGCTGGCTAGCCTTGAAGCCTCTTAAGGCTGTGGGGCTATTTATACTTGTCAAAGGGATTGTTCCCATTTATTTCAAATTTAACATGCTTTTTCAAAGGGATCTTAGAGCAGATGCTGACAGTGTAGGTACATGGTCTTCTGAACAGCTTCTCCACACTCTGAGTGCTCTGTGAATTGAAAGAAAACAAACCCCTGTTAGGACTAAGAGGCCGTGATAGATGCACTTGCAGAGCCCCAGTGCTATTTTTAGTTTTGAAGGTATTTACTTGCATTGTGGTGAATTCCAGTAATAACAGTTAGTAAGTGCTTGCTTTCAGGTTTATTTCTGTTCTGTTTCTGTTCTGTTCTGTATGAAACCCAGCAGAAACTGTTTCTTTTCCATGTTATATTTTTGAGCAGTCGGAAAAAGCATTAGATTTATAGCTATTTAATTGACAAGTCATAAACATATAATTATGAAATAATGTAATATTCTTTTGATTTAACACAAAAAAAAATGCTGCTGTCACATATGTACAGCATGGAGTTTAGTCACTGACTGATGCCTCCAAAATCTGCTGCAAAATAAGAAAATGAAAAACAGTAACACTACTAACCAAAATAAAAGTAGCTGGTTTTGGAACAATGCTAACTTAGTTGCATGGTTTATTTTTTTTAGAGATTTTAACCATCTTTGTCTCTTATTTTCTAATTAAGATTAGAAGGAAATAAAGACATCAAGATGCCAACAGCCCAAGGTACAGTATGTTTTGATTCACTTTATGTGCTTGGCATGTTTTTGTTGAACAGAACAAGGTAGCAGTGGTCTCTGTGATGCTCTAAGTTGGTCTGAGGACCACCAAGGTACATCACCAACTGCATCATAACTTCTAAAGGCTGGACCAGGGACGAGTTCTCAGTGGGGGCAGATATAAATTAGACAGTAGTAAACTCATCTTCTTGGTGAAAATTGAGAAGCAAGGAAAACCTGTATTCACTTGGGAGCAAATAAAAATCAGATGTCCTTAATGGTATTCAGACATCCCATGAGAGGTGAGGTACATCAGCAGTGCTTAGATCAACATCTGCAGAGACAAAGATTTTTCCAGGAACGAGGATTTTGCAGTTAGAAAACATCTCCTTTTTTGGCAGGACCTTGAGGACCATGGTGTGTCACTCACTAAGTAATGTATTGGAGCTTTCCCCTTGCTATGGGAGCATCTGTGGGGGCTTAATTTTCCACCAGCTAAAATAAGACATTGAAGATTTATACGCTCTCTTCCTGATTGAAGGGTTTTGACTAAGTTAAAAAAAAAAATCCTTTCTAAGTTCATGTCTGCAGAAAAAATAAAAACAAGAGAAGTTTCCTTTCAGTACTTGAACTAAATAAACATTGACTAATTTTGATAGGGAACTGTTTTGATGTCTAGCCAGAACTGAAAATTATTAAGCTGCCAACAATTTCCATAAGAAGCAGAGTGCTTTCCTAATTTAGGTGAAGGTCCAGAAACAGTTTTGAGTGATCCCAGTGCTGGATGCAGGCCTTGTAGAGCAAAACACATATAATAAGTGTCTTTATTTTATGAGTGGTTAAAGCCCCAGAACTTTTCTAGGAGCAGTGTTAAACAGGGAGAACGTCAGGTGGTCTTCACAGCTAATTTCAGTAACCTGGCTGAGATGTCTAAGCTAGAAACACCATCACCCTTGGCCAGGCCAGGGCTCAAGCACTGTCTTGAGGTTGCAGCTTTTCATCTGTGATTTATGAACAGAGTCTGGGTTTCTTAGTTCCTTGTCTAGGTGCATTAGTTGAATGTCTGAGGCTGGATGGAATCAATCACTTGACATTTAAAATAGCTGAAAGTGCACTTTGCCTTCATTCATGCAAGATCAGAGCTTAGCTGCTCAAATCTTACACAGATGAGCAGCTCAAACCTACAAAGGGTCCTCTGAGCTCCACAAGTCTGTGTGTGTGTGTCTGCAGTTCATGGACTACAAATCTCCCAGCTTTTAGTGACGATCTCGATCTCTGGTTTATGTATAAAATGTTCCTGTATTGCTTTTCCGTTTTTGCTTTACCTAAATCCGTTCCCTTTTTTTTTTTTTTAACAGTCTACTAAGACCAGTTGCCAGTGCTTTGGAGAGAGCTGTCTTTGTGCTGAAGATTTTGATATTTACACAGCCTTCCAGAGAGCAAGAGAGATCAGAGCACCAAAAAATCCAAACTGTTGCAAGTTCCAACTACGGGTAAAGCTTAAAGTACAGCGTTGAATCAGTTTCCTATGATAGTTGCATTATGGAAACCTCCTGCTGTTCTCCAGTGAAAGATGAAATTAGCGAACTCATGGTGGATGTTTCTGCACAAGAGCTAACTTTGATGATCTGCAACTTATTTCTCTGTGGCCATATTGCTGATTTCATCAGCTATTCCATTCAGCTATCAGCTACGCTTCATATATTTTCTCCAACAATTTTTGATAGCTTTTATATAGAAAACCATCACTACTGTCCACTCAATAGTTTCTATGGTAGGTTCCTGTAAATTAATCGTTATTTTACTTCAGAGTAATATATTTGACAAGTTTGCATCTTTTGGGGAATATTGCAAATTTTAATATTTTTGCTGTGAAATCTTAATGATAGGATGAAACAAGCATAAGACCGTAAGGTTCTTTAAAATTATTACTGTCCCTTTTATACCATGAGACAAATATTAGTGTTTAATTTTCACGTTGTAAAAAGATGTTGCTCAAGGAAATTGATTCAAATAAGAATGATATACTTCATTGTATTATTTACATGTCTGTTTATATTTTTCTTTAGCTATATCTCTTTTATAAAGCATCACATGTAAAAAAATACTAACAAAATGAACTATTGTGTGTTCCATTCCGTGTAATAATAATATGTCCTTGCATAAGGATGAAGTGATAGTATTTTCAGAGATAGTGAGACTAAACTCCAGTGCTGCATCCTGCTGACCTGTAGAGAATTTTTGATCACTGTAAGAGTTTTGTATCCCTGTCTCATCTGTAAGCATCTCCAGTATGGCAAATTGAAACAGAATGAGTGTTATTACTACTTTAGCAAATTGTTGAGGTTTTAAAATTCATTAAGTTAATAGCAATTGTAAGTTTCACATAGAACATAAAGCAGATTGTACATTTACAGATGGCTGAATGAGTATTTAAACTATTAAAGCCTTTTACATAATTCTTTAGTCAAACTCTTTTTAATGGGACTTGATATGCCATACACTTTAAATAGTGAAATAAAGAATCCCCCCATCTGCACCATGTTAATATATTACTATACATTAATGACCATTTTTAAAATGAAAAGAAAAAAAGCAAACCATAAAATTTGGACATGAAGATATAAGCCACTGTGAACCGTGTAGTTCCTGCCCTTTTCACTGATACCTATTACTACCAATGAACTACCATTGCCTATGATTTCCAGTAACTTGCAGCTTTCACTTTCAAAAAGTGATGGTTTGATATGAGGCTTGCAAAAAGAGATATTTAAAAGTATTCCTTGCTTGTCCTCTTTTAATTATTTGTGATATTATTTATTGCTGTTCTCTAGAAATCTGCTACTTGGGTTATCAACGATTTCAGGCTTCCAGCTCCTGAAGACAAACATGCATCTCATTCTTGACATCGACCTCAAACCAAGACGAAATAAGCTTGAAGATTAAGATGTGGTGTTAAAATCTCTCTCAGTGTGAATGAAAGTCTGTAGATTATGTCTGCAGAGTCTTGTTCTTGAAAGCCAGGCTGGGGAGGACTCAAGTAGCTCTGAGTGATAAACATGCAGGCTTTTCTCCTACCTGCTTACCATAGCATAAGGGTATAGTTTCCACTTCACATGTCCCACAGATGGCCGAAATGGTTTGCCTAGCACAAGTTTATTTAGTACAAAGCAATTAGGCCCATGCCTGACCTGATCACGATTGTCTTTCCCAAAGCAGAAAAAGCACCAGTCCTCCTAGGATACATCAGTGTTCAGCTTGTACTCAAAAAGCCAACAGCAGATGCCAGTAATCAACCTGGTTGTTTATCCACTTCTATCCTTCAGTTGCTGGGAAGAATCATCAAAAAGGTGGACAGGGCTAAACTCGAGCATCACTTGTTCTGCTACTGACATCTGCAACCCTGTGTGTGGGCAGAGGGAGGAAAGAGGTGATTGCTGATGAACAGCTCCTCACAGCTGGTGGTGGGACATTTGCAAAGGGTATTTTCCGGTTTACATCATTGCTTGTTTTTCCTGTGCAGAGCTACAGAGAAGCTTGAAGCACTTTGCAAAATTGGTCTTTTAATGTTTCATCCTCTGAATGTGTGGAAGGTACAGTGGTTTCTTAATATTTTTGTTCCTCTGTGTCATTTAAACTCAAAAGTTTACTGACCAGCTGACAAATGTGCAGCATCACGGACTGGAACCTCTAAAATACACATACATTCATTTATGCTATGTGGGCATGTACCCATCAAACTAAAGAGCTAGGGCCATGCCCTTGTCTTCAATTTGCAGACTCTTGTCTTTTGTTTTCCCAAGGATCCATGAGTCTAGATACTGTGTGACAGGATGCTGTATTCTCTCCTGGCCAAATTCCACTTAGGGAACTGTTTTCTGCTCATGAAAATTCCTCTATGGTGAGCAGCCTTTGTTAATAAAAGAACGTGTCATTTCATGGAGAAATGAGTGTATCTGCTCTTTCAAAATTTACAATCTATGGATATTTCTGTTAGGAGGAGAAACAGAAAAGAAACCCTCTATGCCAGCTGCCAGCTGTGCATGTGACGGCATCTTTGGAAAATATTTAGGCACTCTAATGATGGTTCAATGGGAGAACTGAGAACAGAACACAAGGAGCCATTGAATGACAGAGTTATTAATAAGGAATATACTTTGGTTTTGTCAAAACAACTTGAATTACCATTTGTGAAAAATAAAGATTTAAATGTTGGGGCTGTAATACCATTTTCCTTGCAGTGGTTACTGTTTCTTCAGCCAGAGCTGAGGAGCCAGTGAAATTAATTCAGCAAAGAGTCGATTTGGGCTTTATAATCTCAGAATCTCTGATATGAGATTCTTTGGTGGCCTGAAAATAATATGCTTGAATTCGTGAATCTTGAAAAATTCTGGAATAGGAAAGCATAAGATTGAAATTACAGTTCATGACCAGCTGAAAAACACTCAAAATACCTTGCAAATTTTGGTCTCATACAAACTATTTCACCTCAAAGACAGCTTCTCTTTTGAATTATGCTAATGAGATAGTGCATTTATTTTACTTTCTTCTTAATGCAGGACTGGAGCTTTTTTGTAAGGGCCAAACTTCTCCGTTTCTGGGTAGTACAGACAGAAATACTGCCTGTCTTTTATATGCTGTACACATCCTAGCGTGGTTCAGATGATGTGACAACTCTAAACCTCTGTGTTGCTCAAGGGTTAAATCTTGTCACTAATAGAATTGCAGAAGACCTGGTAAAAGCCAGTGTAAGCTCAGTTAGAACTTCATTCACTAGAAATTAAATCCTTTCCTAGTAAAGAGTCCACACAAGACTGAAGCTGCAGAAAATCATAAAGGTGAAATTTGTCTCTAATGAACACAAAGTACTAATTTACCTGTTTTCATCCTGCGTGTCTGCTGCTGTACGGAACTATGGTTGAAATGGCATCATTATTCCCTGTCACCCACACAAGTCTAGCAATTCTCAATAATCATGCTTCCCAAGCAGTCAGTGAGTCACTGCTGATCTGTTTTCTGCAAAGTAGACCTCTGTTTGGTTCCCATGGTGATCAGAAGTGACAATTATTACGGGCTGCTACTACAGTTTCTCAGTTGTGTGTGCCCACTAAAAGAAGCTCTTGCCTAGTTATAGTCCCTGGGTGTTTTGCAGTATATCATCATTGCTTCCTATTGACAGCAATTTAAACACTTCAGGTGAATTGGCTTTGTGAAGAACAGGCTAAAGGAGGGGGATTTGGGGAGTATTTTTGTTTTGCAATGCATTTAGAACAAGACGAAGAAAATAACAACTCTGTAAACTTTCCATAGAGCAATGGCGTTCCAGTATTGCAGAAAATCTTTTGAGGTTGGACTAAATGATTCAACCCTTGTTTTAAACACAATCAAGCACAGAACTTAGGTTTATCATAATAGGAGCGATTTCATTTTACCTGACCTGACAATTTTTGCTGTATCTCCAGGGTTTTCAAACACAGAAGTATTTCCCAGACAGCAGAAATCTATCACCCCTGTTGTGGCACCTTCTGTGTACTGCTCAATATCTGGTCACTATTAAAATCCTTGTAGCTAAAGACAGGACTTAGCTCATGAACCAGATCATTCTGAGAAGTGCAGCGAAACTCTCATTAGCATAACTGTACTGAGAAAAGAATTAGAAAGATGAAGCTACAACCACAGGATGAAGCCTGGATAAAAGGGGGCTTTGTGTTCCAGAAAGGAGAAAACACCTAGGAAAATGAGGATTATTATGCAGTGAAGACAGATGTAGACAGAGGTTAGGAACAGAAAATGACGTAAAAAAGGAAATACCTTAATTAAGTAGCCACTGCATTTCCCCATGATTCTAATCTCTAGAAAATAGAGCAAGAATAGACAGCTGCCAAATTGTTTTAAGACTGAAGAGAAATGGGACTTGGCTTATTAGGGCATTCCAACCCTCAGATGTCTGAGACTACAAACCTTTAAGGAAATGACTTGTCTCATTTTTATTTGCTTAATGTCCAGTATAATGAGCCCATGCACTTTAAAGGTCCTTCTGCATGTTACCAGGATATATAAATATCCTGCTGTCTCTTTCAAAATTTCTGTTGGTATTCCCTTAGTTTATGTCTCTCTGTGCAGACTGAGAAAATACTCAAGATTTAAAAACAATTAACAGGATTAGTGTAAAAATAGATTACAGAACATGCAAGAAGGAAGCCAGAATTTAGTCTGAAAAAACAGTGTAGAGATAGAACCTAAACTTTGGTTTAGTTATGCCATGTATTTTAGATTTCTGATGTAACTAATGAATCACTGTGCAAGTGATTAGTTTGGGTCACAGCACCTACTCTACTACTAACTCTACTCTAGAGTTATCTGTCCACTCATAGAATTTTATTTCTGGTCTTTCTGGTCTCCTATGTTACAGGAGATGGCAGTAATGTGAAATACTAAATTCCACACTTCACCTTTGTTGCTCACTTTTGTGCTGGCTGAATCTCAGTGTTGTCTGCAGGATGGCTTCATCTCCATAAAAGCTCAGGCTGTGATTCAGAGTGACAGTTAATTTGTTGTATTTGATAACATTTGATAACAGTTTTGTGGGGGACACCAGACTGATGGAAAATGCAAGACTTCGTTGCAGTTAGGGAAGTATTCAAACTTTGGAGAGCCCACACTGTGTCACTATCAAACTTTTCTTGGCACTATACAAACATAAAACCACACACAAAAAAAAGATCAGGGAGGTAACACACACCTTCAAGCTTATATCTAATATCATGTTAATGGTTATGTAAGTACTGGAGTCTGACTGTAACCTTGAGCTGTGAATATTTATTTTACCTACAGCTAGGTTTGCATTCCCCAAAGGATATTGCTGTGAGGAAGCCTTGGAAGGATTCCTACTACCTGGTTTGTTTGTAGGAGCCTCACATGCATATGGGAAATAAACCAATTGACTTCCTCTAAAATTAAAAGATTTAATCAGATCATAATGTATAAATTATATAAACTTGATCAAACTCCAAGTATCTGGTTATTAAAACAATGTACTTCATATTTGAAGTCTCACATGAAATCAGCTGCCTGCTTCTTTTTCCTCTTCCAAATGGTGAGTTACCCAAATAAATAAATAAATAAATAAATTTAGTTTTACAAGGAACTGCTTCAGGTCATCAGATAGAAACAAACCATTTTTGTCAGGGAATTAATTTGTAATAAGGAAACCGCCAGCCAGGAGAGACGGAGGTTTTATAAATTCCAAATTATTTTAATAGGATGAATAATAGTTGGAGAATTTACACAGTGCTGTTAGAGAGCCTTTGTTTAAGACATCATTGCTTGTGTAAGCATTGCTTCTTGAGAAACTCAAGATTTCCAGTGAAAAGAACCCTAAAAATCACTACTTGAAAAATAAGTTTTGATTTATGATAATATTTTCTCAAGAGCAGCATTATATTTTTCTCCTTGAATTTCAGGAGGAAGCCAAATTCTCATTGGAGCCAGTGAATAAACAGTCTACTTTTCCTTGCCTGCAAACAATCAGAGACAATTCTCATTCAGAGGTACAAGAAAAAAGATAACTGGTAGTAGGAACATATATGTTCATACACTTGAAATGAATCCAAATCTTTAACAAATTAGTGTAGATTAGATTAGACTTCATGCTTCACCCTTTCAAATATTTTCATTAAAACATGATATTTCTTTTTTTTTTTTTTCTTGTTGGCTGAAAGAATCCTTGGCAAAAATATTTCTTCCATGTTTGTTGCAAGAATATATAATTCTTTATAATTTGTAGCCCTTCTTGCACTATTTCTCATTTTTATCTAGAGTTCAACTTCTGGCATAAAAACCTCTGCCACAGACTATGTTTTCCCAAATGGCTAGGCTCACACCTGTGCTCAGCTGGGCATTCCAAGTAGGTGCTGCTGGAGGTTTTATCCTGAACACTTCACCACTCAGCTGTCTTTCTCAACTTCAGTTGAAACAGGGACAGTATTGCCTGATCATTCTCCAGGAAGAACATTTACTGCATGTATGACTGTCATTTTGAGATTGTAATGACAGTTTGAGGAGTCTTCATTATCCATGAGGATATTGAAACCTCATCTTGGCTCCTACATGACACCTACTTGACATGGTTTAGCCCCAGCCAGCAACTAAGGCCCTCTGAGCTACTCTCACTCCTCCCTGGTGGGATGGGAAAACTGGAAAAGTGAGATAACTCGTGGGCTAAGATAAAGTGAGGGCTTCACACACAACCAAAGCAAATAAGGAATTCATTCACCACTTCTCATGGTCAGGCAGGGGTTCAGCGATCCCCAGGAAAGCAGGGCTCTGGCACTCATAGCACTGACTTGGGAAGACAAACACCATCACTCTGAAAGTCCTCCCCTTCATTCTTCTTCCCCCAGCTCTATATGCAGGTATGGAATGGTCAGCTGTCCCAGCTGTGTCCCCACGCAGGTTCTTGTGAGCCCTCAGTCCACTTGCTGGTGGGATGGTGAGAGGCAGAGGTGGCCTTGAGTCTGTGTAAGCCCCATTCAGCAATAATGAAAATATCTCTGAATTACTAACACTGTTTCCAGCAAAAATCAACAAAAACACAGCCACATCTGAGATACTCTGAAGAAAATAAATCCAGCCAACAGAAGCAAGCTCCTGCAAATTTTGTGTTACCAAGTTGGAAGGCACAAAATCGTGGGAAAGTGTCTCCATCACATTTCAGTTTGTGCAGTGAGGTGCACAAAGGAGTAAGCTTTACTGGTAAATTAGTTGGATAGATTACTTGGCCACATTTCAGAGTCTCTTTGGAGTGGCTTGAAATGATGACAAAAGGAGCAGCATAAGGAATCAGTATCACAAATACCCATATTAAACATTGCAAATGCTAGCAGTATCTGGTGTTCTGTCATTGCAGTCCAGTGAAAATTTCACCGCTAGACTGTAAAGGAAATTATTCCCGGTTGAGTTTTTACCCTAAAAATAAATTCCTCCCAGTGGCTGATCATTTGACCCATAGGTTTTCTTGCCTAGGTCGTGGGGTCTGGCTGATGTACATAGACTGTAGCTCTTCATAATCTGGAACCCTCTCCTCTGTAGACTAAATAAATCCTTGACCAAAGTAGGTCAGCAGACCATGCCTGGCCTCGAGAAACAGCTTTGATCAGGGACAGCAAATTTCTCGCTGTTGCTCATAATAATTTTCTTCAAATGTGATACTTTTCTTTCAAATG